CACAATAATGTGTCGAAACGCGTAGGAGGCAGAAAAGAAAAACCAACTTTTTTGCTTTAAAATCAACGGCCGAAAAGCTCCAAATATACAAATCGTAAAAATGAACGCCGCTAAGAAAAATGCGTGATTGATTTTTTTAATTTTAAATTGTGAAGAGAATCGATTTAATATGCATGATTACATATCACTTCGCTTCCCGAATCGCCCCGTAAGGCTCCATTGTTGCAATATTTTGTGACACACGTTTCAAAACTCGTTCTCTTTTCTGACATCAATAAATTCTAAAAACTGGATAGATGGTGAACTAAATACCTCGAAAATGTAATTCGGTAAGCATGAGAAGTCTGCTGAATCAGAAGAAAAATTTAAAGAGTAACAGGTTCTGTGCCAAATTTTTGCATTTTTGCTAAAGCCTGTTCTGTTACAAAAAAAATTAAGTCAAGAAAAGCGATGGATAAATAAAGAAGTGATGAGTGGTCAAATCAAAATGCGCAAAGATTTTTTGTATGACATATGAGCAGAAAAGCGTGCTACTCAGGTGTACGTGGCGTATGAGTAACTTTCGTTCCTGCTCATTTTTCATATAAAAAATCTTTGCGTTTTTCATTTGACCACTCATTACTTCTATATTTATTTATCCCTCGCTTTCCTTCATTAGTAACTTGATTTTTTTTTTGTAATAGAACAGGCTTTAGCACAAATGCAAAAATTTTACACAGAACATGTTATTTTTTATAAAAATATATATATAAAAAAAAACTGGAATGATTAATTAATTTGTCAGAAACTATCAGTCGTATCGGAAAGTGATGTATAAATGTTTTATGGAGAATTTTATTAGCTTTGATTTGACGTATCTCATTTTAAGATTGTTAAATTCGTTCGTAAGATATACTCGATTTTCGGAATCACCGAGCAATTCTACATAGAAATTGGATAGTGGCATCCATTGAACATTTTTGCTGTAAACCAATGAAATTAATACAAGCAGATAAAGAAGAAAATAGCAAAAAAACGTAGCAACTCCAGTTCCAGTTTTGCACCCGATAGAAAATTTTACCATTTGCTTGACTTTTAATAAATTGGATATAACCAATTTGAATATTTCAGCTTTTATGGTCATCTTGGGATACTTTCGCACAGTTTTTAGATGAAATCTGTTGAGATTGCGTACCGGTTTTCCTCAAAACCATGTCAAAAGTCTTGCATGCGATTGGGTGAATTTTCGCAATTGAACAGTGGGATTTTCAAACACTTGCATAAGTTTTCTATCGGACTCAAATCTGGGCTTTACGCAGGTTTACTCCATGATTAAAAAAACGTGGGATATCTACCTATTTGGCCCCAGTTTCGGAGAATGTTTCTGATCA